ACAAAGTAAAATATATTGTTTATTTTTGGGGCTGACCTCAAGTAAATGAAACCAGAGAAAAAGAAAAACTATTATATATATATATATATATATATATATATATATATATATATATATATATATATTTTAGACATAAAATATCTATTCTTTTTTATAAGGCATATAAAAATATTTTTAATCTATATAAATGATCTGCCTAAGAATATATTCAGTTCATTTGTAAACATCTATGCCGATGATACAACTATAAACCTCTTGATAGTCAGTGATTGGTGACTGATCTCTCTTGTACAAATTACCCAATGGGGTAAAAATCAGCTGGTTACATTCAATGCCTCAGAGACCAAACTAGTTTCATCATTGCCAATCTGGGCCCAAACTGCCACTAATCAGGATGAATGGAGGTCCTCTTGGGGAAACATCATGAAAGACTGTTGGGCTTCAAACTCACACCTGACCTCAACCGTCCTGGGTAAGACTACATCGAATAGCAAGGCCTCAGATCAGGAGGTTTTGAGGAGCATGGAACCAGTTCCGCTCGAGCTGCTTCTTCCCACGAATCACTGCTCTGTGGAACTGACTCCCCAAAAGGATGCTCCCCTCAATCACTCCAGTCTTAACCTGTTCAAGACTAAGGTTACCTGTTATCTTCCACTCCTATAAAGACAAATGGCCTCCTAACATAACCCTCTACCTTGAGTGATCACAGGCCTTGTAAAAGGTGTGAAATGTAAAAAAAAAAAAAAAAAAAAAATGAATAAATAAATAAAAATAAAATGCACCTACATGAATTATAGTTTAATTTTGGATTTAAGTTTAGGCCCAATAAGAAAATAAGAATTATAAATTTTAATTTAAAAACGGACACTGTTATTAAAAAAAATGTTTGAAGATCAAGTGGGATAACTATTTTTCATTTGAAAATTCTTATGTACATCGTCTTTGTCATGTTGCATTGATAATGTTATAATTTATGAATATGTCCTGAAGATGGTTTATTAGACCGAAATGTCCAACGTTGATATATGAACATTAAAAGAGCATAATTGTATAAAAGAATTTTTGTTTGTTTTTTCTATATATATATATATATAAAATATCTTTTTATATATATATATATATATATATATATATATATATATATATATATATATAAAATATATATATATATATATATATATAAAAAATACATCTTTATATATATATATATATAAAATACATCTTTATATATATATATATATATATATATAAAATACATCTTTATATCTATATATATATATATATATGTAAAATACATCTTTATATATATATATGTAAAATACATCTTTATATCTATATATCTTACTTATTATAAAACGCAGATTGTGTGTGTGTGTGTGTCTGTAACGTTTATATATTGGATCGGATTTCCCACATTTTTCAACCGATTTCAACAAAACTTCACAGGATTACATAAAATTACCTTGCGGTGGTTCTAACAGCACCAAAAATGGGAAAAATATAATTGTTTTTGCACAAAATCAATTTGAAAACACGATTAAGAGACATCATTGAAAATGGAAGGGGACAACTCACATCGGGTTGTTTTGTGTGTGGGTTCCTTTAAATATGGGAGCAGATTTCCTATATTTTTCATCCGATAAAACAAAAACTTTTTTTTTTTTTTTTTTTTTTGGCAGGTAGTGTTTCTTATTCTCTTGCACATTTTTTTTTTTTATTTTTAACATTCAGAATGCTTTAAAAATTCCATTTACAAGACAATTATTTATAATAAAATTCTATTCAATTGGGAGACTCATAACGATTGAAAACAATGTTTTTGTTTGAGTTTGGGTTTGACCAATTCGTAAAAAAAAAAAAAAAAAAATAATTAAGACATGCGTGTCCGTCAACCTTAAACAATAATGATCTCTACTGATTGTACGAATACAAACATCGGATAAATTCTTTATCTTTAGGGAAAGATAATGAAATCTAAACATACACAAGTCCAAACTAAAAATAATAACAGGAATGGGAAACTATTTAAATACACATGGTGTCCAATTATTTTACTGTATTCAATAAGTAAAAATCATAAATTGTAAAAGATTATTATATACAGAAAGGCTACTAAATGAATAAGATTTGTTAGATCATAATTAATAAACCCAAATAAAGTTAATATTTTTTTGTATTAGAAACAACGAGTGAAAAAATATATTCAAATCAGAATTCTAATTATGAATCACCACAAGCAAAATATGCAATTTTTTTTACTATATTCAATAAGTAAAAATCATAAATTGTAAAACTAAAAGATTACAGAAAGGCTACCTACATTTTTCAACCGATTTCAATAAAACTTCACTTTTTTTTTGGCATGCAGTGTTTCTTATTGTCTTGCACACTTTTTTCTTTATTTTTACATTCAGAATGCTTTAAAAATTCCATTTACAAGACAATTGTTTATAAAATCATTCTATTCAATTGGAAGACTCATAACGATTGAAAACAATGTTTTTGTTTGAGTTTGACCAATTCGTAAAAAAAATAAAAAAAATAAAAAAAAACAAATAATTAAGACATGCGTGTCTGTCAACCTTAAACAATGATCTTTGTCAATTTTATTTTTCAGTCTTTATGATGGTGGATACTTGATCTATCTCTTACTGTTATATCCCCGGGCAACGCCGGGCTCTACTGCTAGTATATATATATATATATATAATCATGGATTAGTAAAATAACCTTTATATATAAATAAGACAGTATTTTTTAGATATATTACTAAACTATAATTTCCATTATTCAATGTTTCATGCAAATAATTTAATTTGTCAAGTAGATAGGTTTATTTATTGTCCAGTTCAAAAAAAACTTCATAAAATGTTTTCAAACAGTGTGTAGAGGTTTGACATTTCTTTCATATTTAGTATTTGGTTTCTGGTTCCTTCTGAAAGTTTTTGTATTATTGAACTCCCAAGAATCCCCTTTTGTTTTAGTAAAATATATGAGGATGTACTGAAATATTCTTGAGGTTACAGTGATTAAAGAAAAAAAAAAAAATTCTGATGATGAGAAATAAGATTTTGGGAACATTGTTCCTCATCCCCACCTGAGGACAAATTAACTTGAATGAAATTAATTAAAACAAATCATAGATTGTACTTTTTTTTTTTTTTTTTTTAGGCAATTCAGAGGAAAAAGAAGATGGAAGGGCCCTTAGCATGCAATTGGGGTTATGGATCAATTTGCTTTTGGTAAAATTGTGTGTTTGAGGAAAGGATACAGAGAAGGATGGGGAACAATATCATGGCAGTCAGATATCCCTGTTGACAAAACACTTAATTTATTTGAAGATTATAGTCATCAGGTGTTATTTAAGGAGAAGGAGTTAAAAGACAGGAAATGCAGGAGAGGCTGTTTGAGAAGAAGAGACTATTTTGATTTATAATTCTTTTGAACAGTGAAAGAATTTGGGACTGAGAAGCCAGTTTTTAGCACGTTTAAATTTAAGATGATAGTCCAGGAACCAGTGAAAGAATCGTTGGAACAGGTTGGTGAAAATAGGTTTTAGAAAAGACAGAGACTGGTCAAAAAACGTTTGATGAGATATGTCAATTGTAGAGAATAGACCTATCACTTTGTTTATTCATCTCTGGATCAAAAAGTGTTGGACCTTGAGACCAACAGTCAGGTGTCACCAGACTATACTATGACAGCAACATTCAATGCAAGGACGGATGGTTGATTTATACATTTGAAGGATTAACTCAGATGAGAAAAACTTTCTGGCACAACACAGAGAGCCAACTTTCCTTTCAGTAGATGAAGCTATTGATTCAATGTGTCTATTCCATCTCATGTCAGTATACAGCATGAGACCAAGCAGGCGTAACGAGGTGCTCTCAAGCAGTTGGAAATCAGTGATTCTGATGGGAGGCAGGAAGGGATCTCTGTGGTGGGTAAAGGAGAGCAGTTTCATTTTGGAGGCATTAAAGTTACAAGCCATTTCCTGATCTTAAAGTTTTTTATTATGATTATATTTTATGCTTTGTATCTGTTTCACATTTTACATTGAGCTCTTTAATTTGAAAACCTTGACATTTTCTGCACACATTTCTTATTAAATATGTGCATGTGTGTGTATGTGTTTGGAAAATATAGTAATCTCCATATTATAATAGCATATCTGAAAGTGCAATATATATAAAGATACCCAATATGGATATAAATACAATGTAGATTTTACAAGTACACTAGTCAGATTTCTGACATACTTGCATGTTTATATATGCTTTGGAATATAAGAATGATAAAATGCGCCAATCTCATTATCAAATAAATAAAAAAAAATAATCAAAACTTCACAATTTAAAATGCAATTAATTTTCTGAGTTGATAACCATAATTATACAGCATGACTATTTAAAAAAACATTTTACATTTCAATGTTTTTGTTTAGTAGTGTTGTAATTCTGTTACCAATATTATCTGTTTGTTTGAACAGTCAAACAAACAATAACCTACTTATTTTGAAAGCTGAAGAGGATGAAAATTTGATAGATAAGACCAATAAAACATCAGTGACTTATATTGATGGTAATTTGGATCAAGAATAGATATCTCACAAGACTGGGTGCCTATAATGGTGTGATGATTAATAGGTTTGCCTTCACAAATAGTGCATGTTCAACTGAATGTTCTGCAACTGATGGTCTTTTAGTTTACTAAATTGAAATTTAGTATCTTTCATGAATATTGTATAATGTTGCATTGAATAAGTCTGAATCAGAGCTGACCAATTAATTTCCTTCTTTCAACAACATATTTACTAATTTTAGGCTTTACAGTAAAAGTGAACTTGCTCTTCACTGAGTGCTCCAGCTATCTTTCACCAGCCTAGTATAAGCTTGGTATATATCTATTTTGGCAGTTTGCTATAGTGTAATAGAAAACTAGCTACACTGATTGGTTTGGTTTGCATAAAACTTTCTCAGGTTATTTAATGTTGAAAACTATGGATTTGGATAGATAGATAAGAGAAAAAAGGCTTTCGGCAAAATAGCAAAAAAGATATGATGTTCTGTGCCTTTGATGAGAGCCAGAGAGATTAACAGAGTTTCAGCTTGCATGAAAGCCTCTCTCTCATATATATATATATATATATATGTATATATTTATATATATATATAAAAAGGCAGAAAATAGATATATTAAAAATGAAGACTTTTTTGAACACCCAGACACCCCTGATATAAAAATGTATTTCATAGTATTCTTGGCATGAATTTAGTTTGAGGGCATATTTAAACCTTAAAAAATTTTTTTTTTATTATAAGTCTAGTTTGTGCAATGCAAAAAAATGATTTAGAAAGATTTTTAATTTTCAAAAATTCTTTCAATTTATTTTTTTCATTAGCAAAAAAACTAAGAGAAGAAACAAAAAAAAAAAAACATATTTTGAAAAAATTTTTAGTTATCTTTATATATATAAATATCTAATGCTATTTAAAGAAAAGTGTATGCTATTTTCTTAAAAATGTTTTTCTCAAAATTCTAACCTCTGCATTTAATCTTTCCTTTCCCAAAAATATTGATTAGAGCATCCAAAAGAACATCCTAATATTTGAAATTTGCAAAGGATAGAAAATGCATTTAATAAAAACGTATTTTCAATTGAATTATCTGTTGGTGATTTATGGACTTCATCAATGTTACAAACAATAGAATAATTTCATGGCAAAATATAAGATTTAATTTTTACAACTAAAGCTATTTAAATATTGTTGATAGAGTTTTTTTTTTTTATCTTGCATGTCAATAAATATAGAATAGATTTCTTAAAAATAAAATATGTAAGCTCATTAAAAATATTTTCCTTGAAATAACATTGAAAATTTTATAAATAGAACCTTCCAGTATCAATCATTACAGATTAAAACAGATCACCTTAAAAGTTTACAGGTATAGGAAATAAACCCTTTCCACATTCATACCATATTGAAGCACACCCAAACTTTATTTTCTACCCAATAATAGGCAATATTACAAATATTCCAAAAAGATTCCACAATATAACTCACACCATTTAAATCAAAGTGTCTATTGAATAGAACTTAAAATCACCATACGAAATATTTCACCAATCAGAGAAAACTAAATCCCTATTTTTCTCAAGCCTACTTTTGAGAAAAATTTCTTATAAAAAGTTACAGCTTTTAACTTTCAAACAGCAAAGAAGTAGCTATCTCCAAGCCGAACACAAGCCAAACTCCAAGTCAATGTGGCTAGAGCTTTTTCTTTCCCCACAGTTTGCACTAGGGTTGGTCGGTTTGGCAATTTATGTTTTGGTATTGGTTTCCGTTTTTTTTTCCTTGATACCACAGTTTTTGATTCAGGTTTTTAATTTAGTATTTTTGCTTTCTAAGGAAGTCATTCACTTTCTTGTGTAATGATAGCATTTCCAGTCAATATTTGATTATGTTTGAGATTGATAAATTTGCAACTTAGTCCGTTCAACTTGCAATTTCTCATGTATTTCTGATCTAATCTTAAAAATATTCATATGGCTGAAAATAAAATAAAATAATCTTTCTAAATATGTAATTTGTATGTGCTTTTATTCATTGAATTTTTTTTTTTTTTTACACTGGCTTAATACAGCATTTTGCTTTGAACAGCCGAAAATGTGAAATACGATCCCCTCCACCTCACAGACCAAATTTTATTTTTATTTTTTACATGATACTTTGTTTCGCAAAAGCAATGGGACCAATCTTTATCAATATTCTTGAAATTGTACACTCAATTAAAAGACACCCAGGAAGATGTTCATTTCTTCTCTGACCCATAGAAGCAAATTCCTTCAAAAATTATAAAGGAAGCAAAAAAAAAAAAAATAAAATAAAAAAGAGCAGAGCAACTGATAATAAATGTGTGGTTAAAAAAAAGAACTTTCAAATTATTGAAACTACTGACTGATAGACACTTTTTTCAATTAAAGTTTAATAAATAAACTTTGAATAAATTGTCAACTACCATATTTATTAACAAATTAGTAAAATACGAAAGAAATTGTTGTATTTATATTTGTGTTTTTGGACAACACATCTGAGAGAAAATGGTATAGCTCTCCAGGAATTAGTAAAGTTTATAATGTGGCTTTTAGAAAGCCAAAAAATGAAATCCCTCATGTTTAAAATAATTAAAAATACGGCAATTCTTTTCTGGAATGCCAGTCAGCTATTATTGGAGTTTTGCAAATAAATTTCTTATAATCAAGGAAAATCAATGAGTTATTTTTCCCACCTAAATAAATTTATGTTTTTACTTTTTATCTAGTGAATACTACACCTAAAATTAAATATTAAAAATAATTAAAAACTTTTAATTTCATTTTTAGAATGTGTATATTTCTAAATCTTCGAGTATCACCTGTTCTTTTTTAGATACACGTTTTAAAACTGAAATTAAATCTATTTTAATCATTTTAAGTGTATTCGCTAGATAAATCCATAAAGATATTTGTAAAAATAAAATGAATTAATTTTCCTTGTTTAGAAGAATTTTATAGGCAGAATACCCACCGAACACTAGTGGCTAAAAAAGAATAATTTTTACTTAGGGTTTAAATAAATTGACTTATACTTTTGAAAATATATACATTTTAAAACTGAGATTAAAACTTAATTTATTTTTTTAATAGGTGTATTCACGGGATAGAAACAAAATTTTATTTGTGGAAAACAAACAATTTTACATGAAAGACTTGCATATCTAGAAATATATACACATTTTAAAGGTGAAATTAAGAACTATTTTAATTATTCTTAATATCTAATTTAGGTGCATTCCCGAGAGGAAAAAAAAATTATTTATAAAAGATAATCTTCATTCATTTTTCTTGTTTACAACAACTTTATTTCATGATTGGCATACTGGCTTACTAGAAAACAATTACCCTTAAATCAGACTTCATAAAATTCAACATTTAAAACCAATCTGGCAACTATTTTTTTTTTATTTTTACTTGCTATTTTGTCGTTAACTTAATTTTACCACAAGAAGTTTTTTTTTTTTTTTAAACTGAAACAAATATATTTCAGGCATCATGTCATATTTTCCATTTTTTTTCTGTTTGAAAACATTCTATGATTTCCAAGTGTACTAATATCCATCATATTTCTTTTTTTCTTCTTCATTTCTTTTGTAAACAAATAGATTTCATTTTTTTTTTCTAAAACTAGTCAATAAATGTTTTTAACATTTTTGTTCATTCTTTTTCTTTTACAATGGTATAACTGTTGATAAAATTTAATTTTATTAACATCTGAAAGTCTTTTTCAATAGTATTTCTTTGGATATTGTCAGTCAGTCAGTAGTGATAGCACTAAATCGAACGATTTGGTTTCATTAAAGAATTCGATGTGGTTTCATGGTGTGAAGATGAAACCAAAAAAAAATTGGATTTTCGGTTAAACCACCCATCTCTAGTGCATGCTGAAAGAAGCATATATCGGTGACTTCAAATGAATTTTCTCCAACAACAAAGGCAGTCAGTAACTTTTTTTCTAACAATAAAAGTTTTTTTTCAACCACAGGTTTGATCTGTGATTCAACTACTGAAAGATTTTACTTAAAGACTATCAATCATTTTTTACTCTTGAATTCATGTATGTACGTTTGTAAAAATAAATGATTTATTTAACTGGCATATCCATGTTTTCTTTATTATTTTATCATTGTTTGGAATTTAATAATAAAAAAAACTGGGACAATTTCTTACACAGGTATTTAATAATTAAAACAAATTAAACATATTCTCACTTTTTTATTTTCTGATTTTAAACACTTTAACAGGTACATAACAAGTTTTTAACATTTTTTTTTTCCACAGCTGCTATCTGCATACCATAGTTTGCATTTGGCAGCAAATCTGACCAGATGTGACCCACATCTCAAATTTTACTTGGCTTGATCTATACGAAGTCTTGTAGATCAAATCAGAAGTTATTATTTTGAGATGAATTTGGCTCAACACATGCCAGGCAAACTGTGTCACACAGTGCTTCTACTCATCAGATATGATTCTTCTATTTAAGGATAGTCATCATCAAAGCTGCTTTGACTACAAATCAGTAGAATTTCTCATCTTTAGTAACTTTGTAATTAACTTTTATCAGTCCTCTCTCCAAGCCTTCCTGTCTTGTGCTAACTCACAAAAGTGCTTCAGGTCTTCCCAGCTCTTCAAAGCTTTTACAGGGAATAATGAATTTTTTTAATAAAATAAAAATGACATTATAACTTTTTGATGGTTCAAAGCAAAATTCAGGTTCCATTGAACCTCATACAATCAATATGACAAATGCAAGTTTGATCAGGAAATACAATTAGAAAGCTTTACAGATCAATATTTATAAAAAGAAATGTGACTTACCTGACCCAGGGACATGATTAAAGACCATTCCACAAGTAAACGATAGTTACAGTAAGGATTCAGAAAAAGTTGAAGCTCAGGGTCTGAGTACCGGCTTTTATAAGGTTTTGGTACTAACAGTTTAAATGATAAGTTGCCTGCACTATTTTTCCTAAAAGAAACCAAAATAATATCACATGTATATTTAAGCAATTAATGGATTTCTTTTTAATCAAACATTATTTCTTATTTCTAGAAATGTGGGTACACATGATTGGGCAGACATTTCTGCTTTTGAATAGTAAAATTAATGTCTACCAGCTTAAAGATCAAAACTCATAATAATAATAATAATAATAATAATAATAATAATACAGTTAAGAGAAGAGTGAGATTTAAGAAAAGAAAAAAAAACAGTGCTTGACAATTTCTGTCTTGAAAGTATAAGCATATATAAATGTACAAAAAATTGTAATTCTTTGTACAAATGTTGCAAATAATAATAATCATCATAAAAAAGAAAAGTGCTTCCTGAAAGAAAACAAATCTGTATTCCCTTTTTAATCGAGAAGTCCTTACAGCAAAGCAAGACTCAGTTACCCTACTTAAGAAATGCACATCTGTCATTTGGACTTTTTGAAGTCTATATTAGCTTTATTTTTGTACCCAACATAAAGTAATTTTTAAGCAATTGAGTTTTTAATCCAACATTAATTCTTTTTATTATAAACATTATGTTTAGAAGTTACAAATGTTTTGAACTGAATCCTTTATTTAATCTACAGAGGAAGACGGTTCTTGTTCCATTTCCCATGTCTAGAGATATCTCGTCTAGTTCTTTTTTTTAGTACTACTCAGTTATTATTCACCCATTTCCATAGAGTTCAAATATACACTGCCTGACCCAGAGATTGAACTCACAATCACTGTCATCAAGTTCACAAAGCAACACTTTAATCCATTAGATAAAAAGGGTTCAGTTCAGAATTCCCTGTAGGTTACGTAGATCATACATTATACACCCCTAAGGAAGACCAGAAGGTACAAAAACTGAAACTTTGTGATAACAACAGATAAGTTAAAAAATAGTTTGAATATAAATAGTATAAATAATGATAACTCCTCCACACATAAATTAATTTCCCTATTTAAAAATCTGGGATATCTTTTTAAACATGCACTCACTAAATATAACATTATATAATAAAAGTAATTATATAAAGCAACATACACTCTCTCTCTCTCTATATATATATATATATATATATATATATAAAAGAGAGAGAGAGAGAGAGAGAAAAGGTTATAATTGTTCCAATGAGAGAAAAATGTATATTTTAAAAAAAAGAGAGAGCCAACAGTCCAAAAAATGAGATCAAGGCTCACTACAAATACAGAAAATGAACAATGAAACATTAAAAGAACATAAGGAAAATTGATTTCTTTAATTTGCCTGAAGAAGGTCTCGAGACTGAAAACATGCATAGCAAGAATATGAAGAATAAAATATAATATATGCACTAAAACAAATTCACATTATACTAAAAAACGTTTATGGTTTTATATATTTATATATATATATATATATATATATATATATATATATATATATATAATTAATGGATTCATTTTTAATCTGATATCAGGTACCTCCAAAGATACATTAAAAAATAAGCATACAGGATGAGAGAAAAAAAGTCCAAAACTTGATAAAAAAATTTTCCCATACATAGGCAAACACTAAAATGAAATATGTGTAAACTGAAAGATGTTTTTTTAAATTATGCTATTTATTGGCAGTTGAATATATGTTTTTGCGCTCTGAAGATGACAATTTGAAATTGTCGAAAGTACTTGGCATGTGTCTTCCATCTGACAACAACTTGAATACAAGGATCTCATTATTCAAGGAATTGATAGTAAGTTAATGTCTCATTAAGACTTGTTAGCAAAGTGAGTTCGCCATTAATCACATTAACATTGCTATTTAATTTTTTGTATAAATGGTTTCTTTATGATAGAAAATATAAGCTGCACATTAATATATTTATGACATCAAATCCACAGTACAGTAATAATCAGAATCTTAAATTCTGTGGAAAACTACTAAGACATTTTACTCTATTAATTACTTTAACAGATAAATACATATAACAAGAAAATTTTGTGGATTTATAACTTTTCAAAATTCTCACTTGATCAGTTTGAACAATCACACACTCCAAAACATATATTCAACTGTTAATAAATAGCATAATTTAAAAAAAAAACATCTTTCTGTCTATACATATTTCATCTTAGTGTTTGCCTATGCATGGGAAAATTTAGCCCTGAAGATGACAACTTGAAATTGTTGAAAGTAATTGGCATGTGTTTTCCATCTGACAACAACTCGAATATAAGGCTCTTATTATTCAAGGAATTGATAGTAAATTAATGTATCATTAAGTCTTGTTAGCAAAATGATTTCGCCATTAATCACATTAACATTCCTATTTAATTCTTTGTGTGTGTGTGTATATATATATATATATATATATATATATATATACACACACATTTTTGCTTATACTTAAATACTGAAACAATTGTAAATAATCAGAAAATTGGTTTCTATTTAAAAACAGAATAATAACCCAATTAGTTTGGGTACTAACAATTTAAAAAAAAGAAATAAAATGATAGCCATACTAGTCTTATTCTGATTGTATTGCTTGCATTCATGACCAGTCATAATCTCTTTCTTCCTGATTTTCAATGCATTTCCATGGCATATCTTTCCTCCCATATGGCAAACTGTTTGACTGAAAATGAGAGCTGTAATGCTATGATACTAAGTAAAAATGACATTAAATATTATATTGGAGCTGAAAAAGAGGAAAAAGAGAGTTTTTTTTTTTTTTTTTTTAAATCGATTTCATCCCAAGCAAGGCAGTAAAGCCACTAAGTCAAAAAAGGGTTACTGGAAGAATTAGGAACTGAAACATGACTAATTTGCAGGAAGATAAAAGAGTAATCATGAAGACAGAGGATGAAAGAGTAATCATGAAGACAGTAGATAGTGATTGACATTGCATTTAAATTTTTGAAGATTAAAGTTTGCTGGAAAATATAGAACCTGAAAGGAGTTCCACAAGTGAGAAAAATAGCTGTTAGTATAGAATTTATAGCTACATGTAGTCAGCTAAACTGAGTAATGGGAAGTACAAAATGCAACAAAACTCTTAGCTCATTATTGGATGTTAAAAGAAATGAGCAGAATTAACCCTATGATAAAGAGGGAAAATTGTAAATATTGAAAAAAGAAGGCCTATTGTGGAAAAGGATAGCAGATGCAATGTATGCTTCTCTGAAAAACTAGTAATATTACCAGGCGTGGGTGATAAAAAGATGCTAAATAAATGGCAAGATTTGAGAATTGGTTGTAGACAGAGGAACAATTTCCTAGTGAGACACATAAGCCTGTCAGCGACAGTGAATTTATATGAAACAGCATCCACCACAACTGCAGCTCCAGGCCTCATCACTGGTTGTATAAACTTGTATAGTCAAATATAGAAAACCATTTGCTTGTGGCATATTTCAGTTGTTTTCCCTCTATCTCGTATGATATCACTCTAATTGCTTTGGCAACATCATTCACATATAGCTCCTTCTTGCCATTTGAGGATTGCAAAAATTGCATGAAAAATGTGTACATGTGCAGTAAAATTTATTATTATTATATACTAGCAGCATGGCCTGGCGTTGCCAGTGCTTGATTCAAAAATCGTACGATTCATACAGCAATCGCTATCACTTGACTTAAAATATTTTTGCCCTTCCTTGCCTTTAAAGGAGTGCCCTTTGCCGTGCTATCTCACACTGCGAATTTTTTCTAAGCTCTATACTAAACATTAAATCTGTTACGAAAAAAGAACTAAACAAAATGAACACAAAACGATCAGTTTTAAAAAAGGACTTGTAACTGGAAAAACCGAATGAAAAAAAGAATGTTAACAACAAATACTTTTTCACACCCAACCCAGTTCTGCGGAATCAGAATCAACGTTGAGTTTAAGCGTTTAATGAGCCAATTGGAGTAAAGTGCCATGCAGATTTAAATTTTTCCCACTTGTGACGAATGCAGCTATTGATTTTTTTTTTGCATGCTAGCATGCTAGTTATCATTCATGTCAGTCAGCTGTTGGCTCTGACGCTGGCCAATAGAATCTTTTTGCCTATTCATGGCAGCCAGCTATTGGCTCTCACTCTGGCCAGTAGAAAATGGCTGCAAACTACATGAAAACTGCCATAGAAGCATGAAAAAATCGATTATTTCCACTATTGATGGGAGTTGGGAAATGCAAAGTCGGTCTTGGCCTTCTCGCTAACTTGGAGCATGTGCATGTAAATTTTGGTGCAAATCTGTTGAAAATTGCAGCCGTGCATTCGTTACACACACACCCAGCCTTTTTAAAGATATATATATATATATATATATATATATATATATATATATATATATATATATATATATATATACACACATACACACACACACATGGATGTACTGGTGGTGTAATGGTTAGTAACTTCAAACAAGAAATCAGCAAGATGGGTTCAAATTCCAGTTTAATTTTTTTTGGTATGGTAATTTTCTAAGTGCAGCTTAGCTGTGACACAAGGCTGAAAGTATGGGGTCTCAGTGAGCCTCGAACTCACTACTTAGTTATAACTGTTTTAGTGGGACAAGCTTGCTAACCATTACACCACGTCAAGGTACCCCCTTGGTAAAGGTATGATTTGGTTACATTTTGTTTAATGCCATGTCAACCCTAATGTTTCATAGTAAAAGATATAAATACATCATTTCTCCTCCCAGATATGGGCTAAATAGTAAAGCAGACTGGTCTCTTTAGCCTTGATTGGCAACAAGTCTAGTAGAAAGACAACTCCGAATTCAAAACCTGAGGAATATTGTTTGGATATCTCATGGCACAGTTATGTGCATCAGATCAATTACCTGTATTCAGTTCTTCTGAAAAGAGTAGATGGTTCTGCACAAAGCTTCACCACTATAATAAAATATGTGTGGGTAGTCTGACTGTTCATTTCTAGAGCTGAATTGTTGGACGCTTGTATGTTGAAGACGATGGGAGAATTCATCATATATATATATATATATATATATATATATATATATATATATATATATATATGCAAACACATATATGGATACAAGTTCCATATTTAAAATTCACATATCTTCCCATGCCTATTCAACACAAATACACTCTGACAGAAATATCACAAGTTGAATGTGGAATTTGCTAAATTTATACTATATTATAAACAACGATTTGATTTCAGATCTGGTCCGTTGAAATATCTTATGATAGACTGATGTTTTAAGTTTGTTAACAATGCTAGTGAAATAATACTTACTCAATGAATTTATAATTCGCCACATTTGCCCAGGGTAATTTATATGCAATCACACTGCCAGCGTATTCATCTGTTTAAAAAACAAACAAAAAAAAAAGACCTTAGAGACAAAAAAATGTTGGAAATTCTTGCAAATGGAAATTATAGTGTATCTAAGAGGAATAACATTAATTAAGCTCTGAGATGCATAAACCTTACAATCTGTTCTCACTGGAGAAGTTGCTTTACTTCATAAAGTGAAGATTTTATTATTCCAAAATTATTTGGAGCATATCTACTGAATAACAGTTAAGTATATATGCAATGGATATGAGGGTGGGCTGAAAAGTTCATGGCCGACTATGAAGGATTGATGCTAGAGCTGTGAAATCTTGCCTGCATTAATTTTGTATATTCTTATTAATAACTGCATTGTATCTCTCCAGGAAAACTGACATCTGACTGTTCAAAGAAGACTTCAAAAGTAACTAGTAGTGACTTCTCTTGAAAATGGACAAAATTTGGCATTGTGATGTTATCAAGTATCTGCAAAAAAATGGTTTGGTTTGGTTTACAGCATATCAACTTCAATGGGTTATTTAACACTGACAAAATTTTTATTGTTGGTAATATTTTTTTCAAAAATCTATTTCTGGTAATAAAAAAAAAACATGTATAGCTGGTAATTTTTTTTTTTATATCTAAAAATTGCTGGTAATATTTGTTTTTCAAAAATGTATTGCTGGTAATAATATTTTTTACAAAGTATTTCTGTTATTAAAACCTATTTTTACACTTTCATAGTGTTTTAAGCCCAGTTTGGTGGTTAAATATTTACCCATAGCTTAGACCCTAACAGGCACAACCATCGCCAGGTCATGGTGGACCTGAGAACACTAGCTCCATGATCCTCAAAACCTCCTGATCAGAGGCCTTGCTGTTGGATGTAGTTTATCGTCATACCCAGAATGGCAGAAAAAATGATTTAGCTCCAAAGGACATTCATGCTGACATGGTTGATACATTAGGGGATGATGCTCCAGCTTTATCAACAGTACAAAAATGGGCAGGTGAATCTAGGAGGGAAAGTCTTGAAGATGACCCAAGGTTTGGACATCCTGTGATTACCACCATCGAGGAAAACATTGTGCTCAGCATGTAATGATGGATGACAGGTGAATAGTTATAAATCAAATAGCCAATGATATTAGCATATCCCATGAGAAAGTTGAGAATATTCTGCACAATGAACTTTGCATGATGAAAGTTTCTGCTTTGTGGGTGCCATGTCATTCTGACATTTGATCAAAAGCTCACCAGGCTGATCACATCATGGGAAAATCTGACATTGTTTGAGGCAAATTTAGCTGGTTTCTTTGAATGTTTCCTAACCCAGGATGAGGGTTGGGTTCATTACTTTGAGCCAGAGATAAAGAGACAATCCATGCAGTGAAAACACTCCTTCTCATTTGCTCCAAAAAACCCCAAGATCATGTTATCTGTAGGAAAGGTGATGGCATCAGTTTTTTGGGATGCAAAAGGAATTGTGTTTATTGACTATCTTCAAAAGAGCTATATCATCAATGATGAGTACTATGCAAACTTGCTGAGGCAGTTACGAAAGGCTATCAAGACCAAAAGCTGAGGAAAACTGATGAAAGGGGTCTTGTTTCATCAAGAAAATGCTCCAGCACACAAGTTCTTGGTTTCAATGGCTGCTGTGCATGACGCTGCCTATTCGTCTGATCTATCATCTGCTCCCCAACATCAAACAAACACTCAGCTGGGAACCAGTATCACAGTGATAATGACATCACATCTGCTGTTGGTGACTTTTTTGACCAACAGGGTGAACAGTCTTCTTTGAATAGTCAGATGTCAGTTTACCTGAAAAGGAACAATGCAGTTATTAACAAAAAGAGCTGAAATTAATACATGCAAGATTTTACAACTCTTGTATCAATCCTTTATTGTCAGCCTATGAACATTTCAGCCCACCCTTGTACTCAAATGACTGTCCAAAAATAAGCTGGGTTGAACAACTATAATAATAATAATAATAATAAAAAAAGCAAGAGAGTCAATCGTTTAAGTAATTCATGGAATAATACCTCAGAACAAAATGATCAAATACTACTCAAAATATTGTATTTTATTGTGTAAAATACAAGAAATTTTGAATGACAATTAAAGATTAAAGGGTGAGGATTATTATATTATACAGAAGTACACTAAGCTTAAAAAAAATCCCTTATTTGAAACAATTATTAACTCAGTTAACACAAAAAAAATCAAAAAATAATTTTTGGAATGATAATTAGAATGCACAGGCTAAATATCCTGTTCATTTTTATTCTTTAATATCATGAGAACTGAAATATTTTAATGAAATATATGTATGACAGTGAGATTTTAATGGATAATATTGTAATACTTTTCAAAAACAATTTACATAAGGATGGTTGTTTCATAAACATGGGGTTGTATCATACTAAAGTTGTATTCTACACAAGAAAATATGGTAAGTCATGAAAGAAAGACAATAATTCATCACAGAACATCAAGCAACACTTGGAAGGCCTGAGAACATTATTCAAAATATCTTCTTCTATGTGCTATGTCCCTTCATGACGTGGGCCATCATGTCTATCCACAACCTCCTATCCCATGTAACGCTTAGCAATGTTTGTCTCTTTACCAACCCTTCCACCTGCCATTTATCATCCATTCACACAAGCTCAAAAGTTAGGTGATTGGCTGTCTTTCCCTGTCTCTTACCTTCAATATGTCCTGTGAATGTCAAATTCCCCAAGCCCTCCTTCTTCATTATATACCCAAGAAACTCCAGCTAGCTCTTTTAGAGTATGTCATTTTCCTTAAAACTTGTTTGTTTCTTACATGTTCTGTCCATGGTATTCTCATCATCCTTCTGTAGAACCTCATTTCTGTTGCCACCAGTCTCTTCTTCATCTGTGAGGAGATTGCCCTGCATTCATTGCCACGCATGAGAATTGATATTACATAGCAGTTCAGCATTTTTTTCTTTGTTTCTAATGAAATTTTCCTGTTTCTTAGTACTTTGCTTAGCTTTTGGAAGGCATCTTTCACTATTCCACACCCTCTTTCCTTTTTATATATCCCAGAAATTTCAGCTGTCTTTTGCTGATTCTCCTTTTTGTTTCCATTTGCACTGAAACTTCCTTGTTACTCACATGCTCTGCTCATGGTATTCTCAGCATCCTTCTGTAGAATCGCATCACTGTTGCCTCAAGTTTTCTCTTCATCTGTGAGGAAATTGTTCAGAATTCACTGCTATATAGGAAGATTCATATTACATAGCAGTTCAGTACTCTTTTCTTTGTTTGTAATGAAATTTTCCTGTTTCTTATTACTTTGCTTAGCTTTTGGAAGGCATCTTTTACTATTCAAATATATGTTTAGATTTCAGTGTCATATTTTCTATGCTCCGTTAAATATAATGGTCAAACATCAAAGATGAGAATATTATTCTAAATAAGTCATGAACTAAAGAAAATATTCCATTTTAGAATATTAGGCAACACTTGGAAGGCAAGAGGACACATTGTCCAAAATATAATGATCATAAAATAAAGATCTAATGTGAATAATTTCTGGATAATCCATATTTTTAAATTTCAAAAAACATTTGGAGTTTCTATATTAACATGTGAATGTCATTGTTTTTTATACATAGTACCATTTTTCAAGAAACAAATCATAAGCCTTTATAGAACAAAGTGCCATTTAGGGTTAGGGCTAATGACTGTTCTTCAGTCATTAAAATATCTGCTGAATTTTTCCATTGTCATAATTATGATAATGTTAAACTAGATTTGCATTAATGTATTTCTGTTCAACAGAGTAAATGTTTCTATGTTTCCAGTATACCAATAATACATAAATTTTTTTTTGCTTCTACTATAGTATGCGGTCTACCTCATTTACTACTATAGTATGTGGACTACTGTGCTATGAATTATACTGTGACCTAACCACATGTGCTCTCCACTTGCAGTCTACTACAATGAATTCTACCATCAACTCACCTCACTTCTCATGTGTCCTGTCCACATAAAAGGAAGGAAATGGAGATCCCACATCAGGATCCCCTAGGTCTGAAACTGTTAACATCAGTCGGATAACCTCCTTCAGATTAAAATGTTGTTGAAAGATTTTTATAGGTGTGTCATCTTGACCGAGGAAACAGCAGTCACATTTTTATGAGAGAACAATCTGGTAGATATGCTACAGTGTTAGATAGCATATCATAGTAGTAAATGAGGTAGACCACATACTATATTGTTTGATACCATGGTATACAAAAGTAGCATCATTTTTCTTTTTAAATGAGAATAGCATTAATTACAGATAAGAAGCCTGCTATAGAGTAACAGTGACAAATTCTCACAAGCCATTGCCAATGAGTTAAATTCTCTCTGAGATTCTTATTATTGTAACTTTGGGCCAGACTTGGCTAAGTTTACAATTTCTCCTTGGAAGTTAAGCTAAATTGATAACATAACAACACTTAGGTTGTTTAATGTTGAACATAAATTTTATAGAACAATGAATTAATAGTAAAGTAGACATAGGCCCAGCTTACACTCAATCCAAAAAAAGTAGACATTGGTCAGGTTTATGCCCAATTCTGCAAGTATCCATTTACAATAGGGTCCCTTTTGGTGGGGAGTCTTACTCACCTACATGGGATTCATTTAGCATATTCTTTGCCCCAATGACAGGCCTGATATTCTCTTAGGGTACCTACCATCGAGCAATTGTTGATATTTGCAAAAACAAGCAATGAAACTGCTTGCTCTTGTTAGTGAAATAAAAGGATATATTAAATAGAAAGTTATTTCAGAATTTGAAATTTTACAAACTACTGTTTCAAAATCCATCCTTCTCAAAGTCAAATCATATTCAGGCATATAAAGTAATTATATTTCAGCCTGTCTGGTACAATTCAGTATTTCAAACATCATATTACCAGAAATTTATGAGAAATTAAATCTACTTGAATACACCTGTATGTTTTTTGAAACATTCCTGAAATGTTTTGAAGCTTAT